GATCTGATCCCGATCCCGATCCCGATCCCCAATCCCAATCCGATCCTGATCCCAACCCCAATCCCAACCCCAATCCCAACCCCAATCCCGATCCCGATCTGATCCCGATCCCGATCCCAATCCCGGCGTCACCTCCCGGCTCGAGGAGCGGATCAGGATCTTCAGGGTCCTTCCCACGTCCTTCTCCAGCTCCACCTCCGCCACTCCCTACGGAAAAATCCCGGAAAAAAAAAACCGGGATCAGCCCAACCCCGGATCCCAAAAAAAACCCCCGGGATCGAATCCGGGAATTCTCACCGGCTCCTGGAAGTAGAACTGGTAATCGAAGGCGGGATGAGATTCCAGCTTTTCCATGATATCCGTGCTGGGATCGGCCGGGCGGTACGGGGTGTTCAGCGAGGCCACGGCTCTGGGAATTCCGGGATTTCCCAGGATTTTTCTGGGGTTTTCTGGGATTTTTCCGGGATTTTTCCAGGATTTTTCCAAGATTTTTTGGGATTTCCCAGGATTTTCTGGGATTTTTCTGGGATTTTTTTTTTATTTTTCTGGGATTTCCTGGGATTTTTCTCAGATTTTCTGGGATTTTCTGGAATTTTATGGGATTTTTCTGAGATTTCCCAGGATTTTTCCAGGATTTTTCTGGGATTTTCTGGGATTTCCCAGGATTTTCTGGGACTTTCTGAGATTTTCTGGGATTTTCCGGGATTTTTCTGGAATTTCACGGGATTTTCTGCGATTTTTTTTTTTTTAAATTTTCTGGGTTTTTCCCAGGACTTCCCAGGATTTTCTGGGAATTCCTGGGATTTTTCTGGAATTTTTCTGGGATTTTCTGGGATTTCCCAGGATTTTCTGGGATTTTTCTGGGATTTTCAAGGATTTCTTTGGGATTTTTATGGGATTTTCTGGAATGTCCCTGGATTTTCTGGTATTTTTCTGGGATTTTTCTGGGATTCTCTGGAGTTTTCTGGAATTTCCCAGGATTTTTCTGGGATTTCCCAGTATTTTTCCAGTATTTTCCAGGATTTCCCAGGATTTTCTGGACTTTTCTGGGACTTTCTGGGATTTTTCTGTGATTTTCCGGGATTTTCCAGGATTTCCCAGGATTTTCTGGGATTTTACTGGAATTTTCTGGAATTTTTCCAGGATTTTCTGGGAGTTTTTCTGGGATTTTTTCCAGGATTATTTTTGGGATTTTCTGGAATTTTTCTGGGATTTTCAGGGATTTTTATGGGATTTTAATGGGATTTTCTGGGATTTTTCTGGATTTTTCCCGGGATTTTTCTGGAATTTTCTGGGATTTTTCTGGAATTTCTGGGATTTTCTAGGATTTTCCAGGATTTCCCAGGATCTTCCCTGGAATTTTCCAGGATTTCCTGGGATTTTCCAGAATTTTCTGGGATTTTTCTGGGATTTTCCAGGATATTTTCTGGAATTTTCCGGAATTTCCCGGGATTTTTCCGGGAATTTCCTGGTATTTTTCCGTGATTTTCCCTGGAATTTTCCGGGATTTTCCCTGGAATTTTCCAGGATATTTTCCGGGATTTTCCCTGGAATTTTCTGGAATTTTCCCGGGATATTTTCCGGGATATTTCCCGGCATTTTCCCTGGAATTTCCTGGTATTTTTCCGGGATTTTCCCTGGAATTTCCCGGGATATTCCGCACTCACCGGAGCCTCTCTGGGTAGAACAGGGCCATGTTCCAGGCCACGGCGCCGCCCCAGTCGTGCCCGACCAGGATCACCCGCGCAATTCCCTAGGGAAAACGGAATTCCCAGCATTTATTCCCTCCTTTTTTCCCTCCTTTTCCCCCTTTTTTCCATTTCCATTCCCTTTTTTTTTTCCCGGATTTTTTATCTTTTTTTTTTCCATTTAATTCCCCCATTTTTTTGATTTTTTTCTCCTTTTTTCCCCTTTAATTTTCCCGTTTTTCCCCTTCATTTCCCCCTTTTTTCCGTTTTATATTCCCATTTTTTCCCTCTTTTTTTTCCCTCCTTTTTCCCCTCTTTTTTTCCCCCTTTTCCCATTTTTTCTGGATTTTCCCCCCATTTTTCCCTTTAATCTTCCCATTTTTTCCCTCCTTTTCCCCTGTTTTTTTTTTTATTCCCATTTTTTTTTCCTGTTTTTTTTTCCTCCTTTTTTTCCCTTTAATTTTCCCATTTTTCCCCTTCTTTCCCCCCTTTTTCCTGTTTTATATTCCCTCTTTTTTTTTTTTCCTTTTTTCCTGCTGATTCTCCCCATTTTTCTGGGATTTTTCCCTTTTTTCCCTCCTTTTTTTCCCCCTTTTCCCATTTTTTCTGGATTTTTTCCCCCTTTTTTCCTTTTAATTTTCCCCTTTTTCCCCCTCCTTTTTTCCCTCCTTTTCCCCCTTTTTTCCATTTCCATTCCCTTTTCCCCTTTTTCCCCCTCCTTTTTTCCCTCCTTTTCCCCCTTTTTTCCATTTCCATTCCCATTTTTTTCCCGGATTTTTTCTTTTTTTTTCCCATTTAATTCCCCCATTTTTTTTGAATTTTTTCTCCTTTTTTTCCCTTTAATTTTCTCATTTTTGCCTCGTTTCCCCCCCTCTTTTTTCCTGCTAATTCTCCCTCTTTTTTTCTGGGATTTTCCCCTTTTTTCCCCATTTTTGGGGGGATTTTTTTCTCTCTTTTTTTCCCTTTAATTTTTCCCTTTTTTCCTCCTTTTTTCCTTCCTTTTTCCCACTTTTTTTCTCCTTTTTTCCCTCTGATTCTCCCCATTTCTCTGGGATTTTCCCCATTTTTCCCCCCCTTTTTCCCCCTTTTTTTGGGCCTTTTTTACTCCTGTTTTTTCCTTTAAATTTCCCCTTTTTCCATCATTTTTTCCCTCCTTTTCTGTTTTATATTCCCATTTTTCCCTGGGTTTTTTCCCTCCTTTCCCCCCTGATTTTCCCTCTTTTTTTCTAGGATTTTCCCCATTTTTTTCCCCATTTTTTCCTTCCTTTTCCCCATTTTTTTTGGATTTTTTTTTCCTTTTTTTTCCCTTTAATTTCCCATTTTTTCCCCTTCTTTTCCCCCTTTTTTCTCTTTTAAATTCCCATTTTTTTCCTATTTTTTCCCTCTTTTTTTCCTCCTTTTTTCCTGCTGCTTCTCCCTCTTTTTTCTGAGATTTTCCCCATTTTTTCCTCATTTTCCCCATCCTTTTCCCCATTTTTGGGGGATTTTTTTCTCCTTTTTTTTCCCCTTTAATTTTCCCTTTTTTCCTTCCTTTTCCCCCTTTTTTTCCATTTCCATTCCCATTTTTTCCCTGTTTTTTTTTCCTCCTTTTCCCCTCCCGATTCTCCCTCGTTTTTTTCTGGGATTTCCCCCCCTTTTTTCCCAGCCGTGATTCCCAAAATTTCCCACCTCTAAAATCCTGGAATTTTCCCAGCCGTGATTCCCAAATTTCCCATCCCAGAAATCCTGGAATTCTTCCATCTCTGATTCCCAGAAATCCTGGAATTTTCCCAGCCCTGATTCCCAAAATTTCCCATCCAAAAAATCCTGGAATTTTCCCAGCCGTGATTCCCAAAATTTCCCATCCCAGAAATCCCCAGCTGTGATTTCCCAGCCATTGGAAAAATCCTGGAATTCTCCCAGCCGTGATTCCCAAATTTCCCACCCCAGAAATCCTGGAATTCTTCCATCTGTGATTCCCAGAAATCCTGGAATTCTCCCAGCCCTGATTCCCAAAATTTCCCATCCAAAAAATCCTGGAATTCTTCCATCTCTGATTCCCAAAATTTCCCATCCCAGAAATCCCCAGCCGTGATTTCCCAGCCATTGGAAAAATCCTGGAATTCTCCCAGCCGTGATTCCCAAAATTTCCCACCCCAAAAATCCTGGAATTCTTCCATCTCTGATTCCCAGAAATCCTGGAATTTTCCCAGCCCTGATTCCCGGATTTCCCACCCCAGAAATCCCCGGATCCCCCGCCGTTCCAAGAACTCCCGAATTTCCCAGGAACACCAAGAATTCCCAACTTTTCCCGGCAATCCTCACCAGTTTATCCAGGAAAGTCACGAGATCCTGGAGAATTCCCAACTTTTCCCGGCAATCCTCACCAGTTTATCCAGGAAAGTCACGAGATCCTGGGAAAAGGAGGAGGGATCGGGATCAGATCCCGTCGGGATCGGCCCTTCCCGGCCTCCCTCATTCCCAGGAATTCCCAGGAATTCCTCACCTTGCAGATCCGCTCCTGGGAATATTCCGGGATATCTGCCGGGAAAAACGCCGGATCCGCCATTCCTTTATCCCACGGATTCTCCCTCTTTTTCCAGGAATTTTTCCCAAATTTTCCCAAATTTTCCCGAATTTTTTTTCCCGATTTTTTCCCTCTCTTTCCCAAGTTTTCCTGGTTTTTTTCCCCCCTCCTTTTCCCGATTTTTCCTGCATTTCCCCCTTTTTCCCTCATTTTTCTTCCCTTTTTTTCCCAATTTTTTCTGGGTTTTTCCTCTTTTTTTTCCCATTTTTTCCCTCCTTTTCCCTCTGATTTTCCCTCTTTTTTTCTAGGATTTTCCCCATTTTTTTCCCCATTTTTTCCTTCCTTTTCCCCCTTTTTTTCCATTTCCATTCCCATTTTTTCCCTGTTTTTTTTTCCTCCTTTTCCCCTCCCGATTCTCCCTCGTTTTTTTCTGGGATTTCCCCCCCTTTTTTCCCAGCCGTGATTCCCAAAATTTCCCACCCCTAAAATCCTGGAATTCTCCCAGCCGTGATTCCCAAATTTCCCATCCCAGAAATCCTGGAATTCTTCCATCTCTGATTCCCAGAAATCCTGGAATTCTCCCAGCCCTGATTCCCAGAATTTCCCATCCAAAAAATCCTGGAATTTTCCCAGCCCTGATTCCCAAATTTCCCATTCAAAAAATCCTGGAATTCTTCCATCTCTGATTCCCAGAAATCCTGGAATTTTCCCAGCCCTGATTCCCAAAATTTCCCATCCAAAAAATCCTGGAATTCTCCCAGCCGTGATTCCCAAAATTTCCCACCCCAAAAATCCTGGAATTCTTCCATCTCTGATTCCCAGAAATCCTGGAATTCTCCCAGCCCTGATTCCCGGATTTCCCACCCCAGAAATCCCGGATCCCCCGCCGTTCCAAGAATTCCCGAATTTCCCAGGAACGCCGAGAATTCCCAACTTTTCCCGGCAATCCTCACCAGTTTATCCAGGAAAGTCACGAGATCCTGGGAAAAGGAGGAGGGATCGGGATCAGATCCCGTCGGGATCGGCCCTTCCCGGCCTCCCTCATTCCCAGGAATTCCCAGGAATTCCTCACCTTGCAGATCCGCTCCTGGGAATATTCCGGGATATCTGCCGGGAAAAACGCCGGATCCGCCATTCCTTTATCCCACGGATTCTCCCTCTTTTTCCAGGAATTTTTCCCAAATTTTCCCAAATTTTCCCGAATTTTTTTTCCCGATTTTTTCCCTCTCTTTCCCAAGTTTTCCTGGTTTTTTTCCCCCCTCCTTTTCCCGATTTTTCCTGCATTTCCCCCTTTTTCCCTCATTTTTCTTCCCTTTTTTTCCCAATTTTTTCTGGGTTTTTCCTCTTTTTTTTCCCATTTTTTCCCCCTCCTTTTTCCCTCGGATTCTCCCTCTTTTTCCAGGGATTTTTCCCAAATTTTCCCGAAATTTCCCGAATTTTTCCCTCATTTTTTCCCCATTTTATTCCCCATTTTTTCCCTCTCCTTTTCCCAATTTTTCCCTCATTATCCCCTCTTTTCCCCTCATTTTTCCTCCCTTTTTTCCCCAATTTTTCCCTCCTTTTTTCCCCGTTTTCCCCCTCCTTTTTCCCTCGGATTCTCCCTCTTTTTTCAGGAATTTTTCCCAGATTTTCCCGAATTTTCCCGAATTTTTTTTCCCGATTTTTTCCCTCTCTTTCCCAAGTTTTCCTGGTTTTTTTCCCCCTCCTTTTCCCGATTTTTCCTCCATTTTCCCCTTTCTTCCCTCTTTTTTTTCCCATTTTTTCCCCAATTTTTCCCTCCTTTTTTCCTCCTTTTTTCCTCCTTTTTTCCCCCTCCTTTTTCGCTCAGATTCCCCCTCTTTTTTCAGGAATTTTTCCCAAATTTTCCCAAAATTTCCAGAATTTTTCCCTCATTTTTTCCCCATTTTATTCCCCATTTTTTCCCTCTCCTTTTCCCAATTTTTCCCTCATTATCCCCTCTTTTCCCCTCATTTTTCCTCCCTTTTTTCCCCAATTTTTCCCTCCTTTTTTCCCCGTTTTCCCCCTCCTTTTTCCCTCGGATTCTCCCTCTTTTTTCAGGAATTTTTCCCAGATTTTCCCGAATTTTCCCGAATTTTTTTTCCCGATTTTTTCCCTCTCTTTCCCAAGTTTTCCTGGTTTTTTTCCCCCTCCTTTTCCCGATTTTTCCTCCATTTTCCCCTTTCTTCCCTCTTTTTTTTCCCATTTTTTCCCCAATTTTTCCCTCCTTTTTTCCTCCTTTTTTCCTCCTTTTTTCCCCCTCCTTTTTCGCTCAGATTCCCCCTCTTTTTTCAGGAATTTTTCCCAAATTTTCCCAAAATTTCCAGAATTTTTCCCTCATTTTTTCCCCATTTTTCCCAAATTTTCCCAAAATTTCCAGAATTTTTCCCTCATTTTTTCCCCATTTTATTCCCCATTTTTTCCCTCTCCTTTTCCCAATTTTTCCCTCATTATCCCCTCTTTTCCCTCATTTTTCTTCCCTTTTTTTCCCAATTTTTCCCAATTTTTTCTGGTTTTTTCCTCCTTTTTTCCCCCCTTCTTTCCCCTCCTTTTTCCCTCAGATTCTCCATCTTTTTCCAGGGATTTTTCCCAAATTTTCCCAAAATTTCCAGAATTTTTCCCTCATTTTTTCCCCATTTTATTCCCCATTTTTTCCCTCTCCTTTTCCCAATTTTTCCCTCATTATCCCCTCTTTTCCCTCATTTTTCTTCCCTTTTTTTCCCAATTTTTCCCAATTTTTCCTCCTTTTTTCCTCCTTTTTTCCCTTTTTTCCCCCTCCTTTTTCCCTGTGATTCTCCCTCTTTTTCCAGGGATTTTTCCAAAATTTTCCCGAATTTTCCCGAATTTTTCCCCCATTTTTTTCCCTCTCCTTTTCCCGATTTTTTCTGCATTTTCCCCTTTTTCCCCTTGTTTTTCTTCCCTTTTTTTCCCAATTTCTTCCTCCTTTTTCCCTCCTTTTTTCCCCTTCTTCCCCCTCCTTTTTCCCTCTGATTCTCCCTCTTTTTCCAGGGATTTTTCCCAAATTTTCCCGAATTTTCCCGAATTTTTCCCCCATTTTTTTCCCTCTCCTTTTCCCGATTTTTTCTGCATTTTCCCCTTTTTCCCCTTGTTTTTCTTCCCTTTTTTTCCCAATTTTTTCCTCCTTTTTCCCTCCTTTTTTCCCCTTCTTCCCCCTCCTTTTTCCCTCTGATTCTCCCTCTTTTTCCAGGGATTTTTCCAAAATTTTCCCGAATTTTTCCCGAATTTTTCCCCCATTTTTTTCCCTCTCCTTTTCCCGATTTTTCCTGCATTTTCCCCTTTTTTCCCTCATTTTTCTTCCCTTTTTTTCCCAATTTTTCCCAATTTTCCCCTCCTTTTTTCCCCTTCTTCCCCCTCCTTTTTCCCTCTGATTCCCCCTCTTTTTTCAGGAATTTTTCCCAAATTTTCCCGAAATTTCCAGATTTTTTCCCTCATTTTTTCCCCATTTTATTCCCTATTTTTTCCCCCTCCTTTTCCCAATTTTTCCCTCATTATCCCCTCTTTTCCCTCATTTTTCTTCCCTTTTTTCCCCAATTTTTCCCAATTTTTCCCAATTTTTTCTGTTTTTTTCCTCCTTTTTTCCCATTTTTTTCCCCTCCTTTTTCCCTCGGATTCTCCCTCTTTTTCCAGGAATTTTTCCCAAATTTTCCCGAATTTTCCCGAATTTTTCCCTCATTTTTTTCCCATTTTTTTCCCTCTCCCTTTCCCAATTTTTCCTGCATTTTCCTCTTTTTTCCCTCCTTTATCTTCCCTCTTTTTTTTTTCAATTTTTTCCCCAATTTTTTCCTCCTTTTTTCCTCCTTTTTTCCCTTTTTTCCCCCTCCTTTTTCCCTCGGATTCTCCCTCTTTTTTCAGGAATTTTTCCCAAATTTTCCCGAATTTTCCCGAATTCTTTTTCCCGATTTTTTCCCTCCCTTTCCCAAGTTTTCCTGGGTTTTTTCCCGCCCTCCTTTTCCCGATTTTTCCTGCATTTTCCCCTTTTTTCCCTCGTTTTTCTTCCCTTTTTTTCCCAATTTTTTCCTCCTTTTTTCCTCCTTTTTTCCCTTTTTTCCCCCCTCCCTTTTTTCCCCCCTCCTTTTTCCCTCGGATTCTCCCTCTTTTTCCAGGGATTTTTCCAAAATTTTCCCGAATTTTCCCGAATTTTCCCCCATTTTAACCTCTCCTTTTCCCAATTTTTCCCGCATTATCCCCTCTTTTCCCTCATTTTTCTTCCCTTTTTTTCCCAATTTTTCCCAATTTTTCCCTCCTTTTTTCCCCTTCTTCCCCCTCCTTTTTCCCTCAGATTCTCCCTCTTTTTTCAGGAATTTCTCCCAAATTTTCCCAAATTTTCCCGAATTTTTCCAAATTTTTCCCTCATTTTTTTCCCCATTTTTTCCCTCTCTTTTCCCGATTTTTCCTGCATTTTCCCCCTTTTTCCCTCATTTTTCTTCCCTTTTTTTCCCAATTTTTCCCTCCTTTTTTCCTCCTTTTTTCCCCCTCCTTTTTCCCTCGGATTCTCCCTCTTTTTTTCAGGAATTTTTCCCAAATTTTTCCCTCATTTTTTTCTCCATTTTTTCTGGGTTTTTTTTCCTCTTTTCTTCCTTTTCCCAATCTTTCCCTTCCCTTTTCCCAATTTTTCTGATTTTTCCCAATTTTTCCTCCTTTTCCCGATTTTTCCTTTCCCTTTTCCCTATTTTTTCTTTCCCTTTTCCCAATTTTTTCTCCTTTTCCCGATTTTTCCCTTCCCTTTCCCAATTTTCCTCCTTTTCCCGATTTTTCCCTTCCCTTTTCCCGACTTTTCCTCCTTTTCCCAATTTTCCTCCTTTTCCCAATTTTTTCTCCTTTTCCCAATTTTCCCCTTCCCTTTTCCCCATTTTTCCACCTTTTTCCCATTTTTTTCCCTTCCCTTTTCCCAATTTTTCCGATCTTTCCCGATTTTCTTTCTCCCTTTTCCCGATTTTTCCTTTCCCTTTCCCAAATTTCTCCTCCTTTTCCTGATTTTCCTGCTTTTCCCAATTTTTTCTCCTTTTCCCAATTTTTCCTCCTTTTCCCGATTTTTCCCTTCCCTTTTCCCCATTTTTCCACTTTTTCCCATTTTTCCCTTCCCTTTCCCCATTTTTCCACTTTTTCCCAATTTTTCTTCCTTTTCCCCATTTTTCCTCCTTTTCCCCATTTTTCCTCCTTTTCCCCATTTTTCCTCCTTTTCCCGACTTTTCCCTTCCCCTTTTCCCCATTTTCCCTCCTTTTCCCTCCCCACCCCCTCCAAAAAAACCCCTAAAAAAATTCCGGGAATTCCCCGCCAACATTCCCAATTTTCCCTGCCTCCACCCCCTCCCCTCCCCCCGACATCCCAATCCCAAAAATCCCGGGAATTCCGGGCTGACCCGGCGGAGCCGTGGATTCTCCGTATCCCTTCATTTCCAGGGCGATCACCCGGAATCCGGCGTCGGCCAAGGCCGGGATCTGCCGCGGGAAAAGAGCGGAATTCCCGACGGATCCTTGGGAATTCCCTGGGGAATTCCGGCTGGGATTGATCCTTTCCCACCCCCCCGCCTCCCCGGGGTGAATTCCCGGGATTTTGGGTCACCTGGAAGCGCCAGGAGAGCCAGGATTCCGGGAATCCGTGGCACAGGCAGATGGCGGGGCCCTGGCCCAGCTCGGCGAAGTGCAGCCCAACTCCCGGCTGGAAAAAAAACGGGAATTCCTTCCTCAGGGATCACGGGAAAACGGGAATTCTTCGGGGATCCAGGGAAAAAATTCCTCAGGGATCCTGGGAAAAATTCTTCAGGGATTCTGGGAAAACGGGAATTCTTCAGGGATCCCGGGAAAATGGAAATTCCTTCCTCAGGGATCATGGGAAAACGGGAATTCTTCGGGGATCCAGGGAAAAAATTCCTCAGGGATTCCTGGGAAAAAATTCCTCAGGGATCCCGGGAAAATGGGAATTCCTTCCTCAGGGGATCACAGGAAAACGGGAATTCTTCGGGGATCCAGGGAAAAAATTCCTCAGGGATTCCTGGGAAAAATTCCTCAGGGATCCTGGGAAAAATTCTTCAGGGATTCCAGGAAAAATTCCTAAGGGATCCCGGGAAAAATTCCTCAGGGATTCTGGGAAAACGGGAATTCCTCAGGGATCCTGGGAAAATGGGAATTCCTTCCTCAGGGATTCCGGGAAAATTCCTCAGGGATCCCGGGAAAACGGGAATTCTTCAGGGATCCCGGGAAAATGGAAATTCCTTCCTCAGGGATCACGGGAAAACGGGAATTCCTTCCTCAGGGGATCATGGGAAAACAGGAATTCTTTGGGGATCCAGGGAAAAAATTCCTCAGGGATTCCTGGGAAAAAATTCCTCAGGGATTCCTGGGAAAAATTCCTCAGGGATTCTGGGAAAATGGGAATTCCTTCCTCAGGGGATCACGGGAAAACGGGAATTCCTTCCTCAGGGGATCACGGGAAAACAGGAATGCTTTGGGGATCCAGGGAAAAAATTCCTCAGGGATTCCTGGGAAAAAATTCCTCAGGGATTCCTGGGAAAAAATTCCTCAGGGATTCCTGGGAAAATGGGAATTCCTTCCTCAGGGATCACGAGAAAACGGGAATTCTTTGGGGATCCAGGGAAAAAATTCCTCAGGGATTCCTGGGAAAACGGGAATTCCTTCCTCAGGGGATTCTGGAAAACGGGAATTCTTCGGGGATTCTGGGAAAAATTCCTCAGGGATTCTGGGAAAATTTCTTATGGATTCTGGGAAAATGGGAATTCCTCAGGGATTCTGGGAAAACGGGAATTCCTCAGGGATCCCGGGAAAAATTCTTCAGGGGATCCCGGGAAAACGGGAATTCTTGAGGGATCCTGGGAAAAATTCCTCAGGGATTCCTGGGAAAAATTCCTCAGGGATCCCGGGAAAAATTCCTTATGGATCCTGGGAAAAATTCTTCAGGGATTCTGGGAAAATGGGAATTCCTTCCTCTGGGATCCCGGGAAAACAGGAATTCTTGGGGGATCCAGGGAAAAATTCCACAGGGATTCCTGGGAAAAATTCCTAAGGGATCCCGGGAAAAATTCCTCAGGGATCCTGGGAAAATGGGAATTCCTTCCTCAGGGGATCACAGGAAAACGGGAATTCTTCAGGGATTCTGGGAAAAATTCCTCAGGGATTCTGGGAAAACGGGCATTCCTCAGGGATCCCGGGAAAACGGGAATTCCTTCCTCTGGGATCCCGGGAAAACAGGAATTCTTGGGGGATCCAGGGAAAAAATTCCTCAGGGATTCCTGGGAAAAAATTCCTCAGGGATTCCTGGGAAAAATTCTTCAGGGATCCCGGGAAAATGGGAATTCCTTCCTCAGGGATCACGGGAAAATGGGAATTCTTCGGGGATTCTGGGAAAAATTCCTCAGGGATCCCGGGAAAATGGGAATTCCTTATGGATTCTGGGAAAACAGGAATTCCTTCCTCAGGGATCCCGGGAAAACGGGAATTCTTGAGGGATCCAGTGAAAAATTCCACAGGGATTCCTGGGAAAAATTCTTCAGGGATTCTGGGAAAACGGGAATTCCTCAGGGATCCCGGGAAAACAGGAATTCCTTCCTCAGGGGATCACAGGAAAACGGGAATTCTTTGGGGATCCAGGGAAAAATTCTTCAGGGATTCTGGGAAAACGGGAATTCCTCAGGGATCCTGGGAAAATGGGAATTCCTTCCTCAGGGATCACGGGAAAATGGGAATTCTTTGGGGATCCAGGGAAAAAATTCCTCAGGGATTCCTGGGAAAAAATTCCTCAGGGATTCCTGGGAAAAATTCCTCAGGGGATTCTGGGAAAACGGGAATTCTTCAGGGATCCCAGGAAAATGGAAATTCCTTCCTCAGGGATCACGGGAAAACGGGAATTCTTCGGGGATCCAGGGAAAAAATTCCTCAGGGATTCCTGGGAAAACGGGAATTCCTTCCTCAGGGGATTCTGGAAAAACGGGAATTCTTCGGGGATTCTGGGAAAAATTCCTCAGGGATTCTGGGAAAATTTCTTATGGATTCTGGGAAAATGGGAATTCCTCAGGGATTCTGGGAAAATGGAAATTCCTTCCTCAGGGATTCCGGGAAAAATTCTTCAGGGATTCTGGGAAAACGGGAATTCTTCAGGGATCCCGGGAAAATGGAAATTCCTTCCTCAGGGATCACGGGAAAACGGGAATTCTTTGGGGATCCAGGGAAAAATTCTTCAGGGATTCTGGGAAAACGGGAATTCCTCAGGGATCCTGGGAAAATGGGAATTCCTTCCTCAGGGATCACGGGAAAATGGGAATTCTTTGGGGATCCAGGGAAAAAATTCCTCAGGGATTCCTGGGAAAAAATTCCTCAGGGGATTCAGGGAAAACGGGAATTCTTCGGGGATCCCGGGAAAATGGGAATTCCTTCCTCAGGGATCACGGGAAAACAGGAATTCTTCGGGGATCCAGGGAAAAATTCCTCAGGGATTCCTGGGAAAATGGGAATTTCTTCCTCAGGGATCCCGGGAAAACGGGAATTCTTCAGGGATTCTGGGAAAATGGAAATTCCTTCCTCAGGGATTCCGGGAAAAATTCTTCAGGGATTCTGGGAAAACGGGAATTCTTCAGGGATCCCGGGAAAATGGGAATTCCTTCCTCAGGGGATCATGGGAAAACAGGAATTCTTTGGGGATCCAGGGAAAAAATTCCTCAGGGATTCCTGGGAAAAAATTCCTCAGGGATCCCGGGAAAAATTCTTCACGGATTCTGGGAAAATGGGAATTCCTTCCTCAGGGATCACGGGAAAATGGGAATTCTTTGGGGATCCAGGGAAAAATTCCTCAGGGATTCCAGGAAAAATTCCTCAGGGATTCTGGGAAAACGGGAATTCTTCAGGGATCCCGGGAAAAATTCCTCAGGGATTCCTGGGAAAAATTCCTAAGGGATCCCGGGCAGGGATCCTGGGAAAATGGGAATTCCTTCCTCAGGGGATTCTGGGAAAACGGGAATTCTTTGGGGATTCTGGGAAAAATTCCTCAGGGATTCCGGGAAAAATTCCTTATGGATTCTGGGAAAATGGGAATTCCTTTCTCAGGGATTCTGGGAAAATTCCTCAGGGATCCTGGGAAAATGGGAATTCTTCAGGGATTCTGGGAAAAATTCCTCAGGGATCCAGGGAAAAATTCTTCAGGGATTCTGGGAAAACGGGAATTCCTCAGGGATCCCGGGAAAACGGGAATTCCTTCCTCAGGGATCACGGGAAAACAGGAATTCTTTGGGGATTCTGGGAAAAATTCCTCAGGGATTCTGGGAAAACGGGCATTCCTTATGGATTCTGGGAAAACAGGAATTCCTTCCTCTGGGATCCCGGGAAAACAGGAATTCTTGGGGGATCCAGGGAAAAATTCCACAGGGATTCCTGGGAAAAATTCTTCAGGGATTCTGGGAAAACGGGAATTCCTCAGGGATCCCGGGAAAACAGGAATTCCTTCGTCAGGGGATCACGGGAAAACGGGAATTCTTCGGGGATCCCGGGAAAAAATTCCTCAGGGATTCCTGGGAAAAAATTCCTCAGGGATTCCTGGGAAAAATTCTTCAGGGGATTCTGGGAAAACGGGAATTCCTCAGGGATCCCGGGAAAATGGGAATTCCTTCCTCAGGGGATCACAGGAAAACGGGAATTCTTTGGGGATCCAGGGAAAAATTCTTCAGGGATTCTGGGAAAACGGGAATTCCTCAGGGATCCTGGGAAAATGGGAATTCCTTCCTCAGGGATCACGGGAAAATGGGAATTCTTTGGGGATCCAGGGAAAAATTCCTCAGGGATTCCTGGGAAAATGGGAATTTCTTCCTCAGGGATCCCGGGAAAACGGGAATTCTTCAGGGATTCTGGGAAAATGGAAATTCCTTCCTCAGGGATTCCGGGAAAAATTCTTCAGGGATTCTGGGAAAACGGGAATTCTTCAGGGATCCCGGGAAAATGGGAATTCCTTCCTCAGGGGATCATGGGAAAACAGGAATTCTTTGGGGATCCAGGGAAAAAATTCCTCAGGGATTCCTGGGAAAAAATTCCTCAGGGGATTCAGGGAAAACGGGAATTCTTCGGGGATCCCGGGAAAATGGGAATTCCTTCCTCAGGGATCACGGGAAAACAGGAATTCTTCGGGGATCCAGGGAAAAATTCCTCAGGGATTCCTGGGAAAATGGGAATTTCTTCCTCAGGGATCCCGGGAAAACGGGAATTCTTCAGGGATTCTGGGAAAATGGAAATTCCTTCCTCAGGGATTCCGGGAAAAATTCTTCAGGGATTCTGGGAAAACGGGAATTCTTCAGGGATCCCGGGAAAATGGGAATTCCTTCCTCAGGGGATCATGGGAAAACAGGAATTCTTTGGGGATCCAGGGAAAAAATTCCTCAGGGATTCCTGGGAAAAAATTCCTCAGGGATCCCGGGAAAAATTCTTCACGGATTCTGGGAAAATGGGAATTCCTTCCTCAGGGATCACGGGAAAATGGGAATTCTTTGGGGATCCAGGGAAAAATTCCTCAGGGATTCCAGGAAAAATTCCTCAGGGATTCTGGGAAAACGGGAATTCTTCAGGGATCCCGGGAAAAATTCCTCAGGGATTCCTGGGAAAAATTCCTAAGGGATCCCGGGCAGGGATCCTGGGAAAATGGGAATTCCTTCCTCAGGGGATTCTGGGAAAACGGGAATTCTTTGGGGATTCTGGGAAAAATTCCTCAGGGATTCCGGGAAAAATTCCTTATGGATTCTGGGAAAATGGGAATTCCTTTCTCAGGGATTCTGGGAAAATTCCTCAGGGATCCTGGGAAAATGGGAATTCTTCAGGGATTCTGGGAAAAATTCCTCAGGGATCCCGGGAAAAATTCTTCAGGGATTCTGGGAAAACGGGAATTCCTCAGGGATCCCGGGAAAACGGGAATTCTTCGGGGATTCTGGGAAAAATTCCACAGGGATTCTGGGAAAATTCCTTATGGATTCTGGGAAAATGGGAATTCCTCAGGGATTCTGGGAAAATGGGAATTCCTCAGGGATCCTGGGAAAAATTCTTCAGGGGATCCCGGGAAAACGGGAATTCCTCAGGGATCCAGGGAAAAATTCCACAGGGATTCCTGGGAAAAATTCCTCAGGGATCCCGGGAAAAATTCCTCAGGGATCCTGGGAAAATGGGAATTCCTTCCTCAGGGGATTCTGGGAAAACGGGAATTCTTTGGGGATTCTGGGAAAAATTCCTCAGGGATTCCGGGAAAAATTCCTTATGGATTCTGGGAAAATGGGAATTCCTTTCTCAGGGATTCTGGGAAAATTCCTCAGGGATCCTGGGAAAATGGGAATTCTTCAGGGATTCTGGGAAAAATTCCTCAGGGATCCCGGGAAAAATTCTTCAGGGATTCTGGGAAAACGGGAATTCCTCAGGGATCCCGGGAAAACGGGAATTCTTCGGGGATTCTGGGAAAAATTCCTCAGGGATCCCGGGAGAAATTCCTCAGGGATCCCGGGAAAACGGGAATTCCTCAGGGATCCTGGGAAAACGGGAATTCCCCCAGGCCGGCAGCCACAATTCCAGAGCCCAGAGCCCTCTCCGCCCTGGAATGCCGGAGCTCAGCTCCTGGAATTCCGGAGCGGGAATCAGCCCTCTCCAGCCGGGAATTCCGGAGCTCCTGGAATGCCGGGAGAATTCCCAAAGGCTGAAGCAGCTCCGTGATCCATTCCTGGATCCCGGCAGATCCCAGCCTGGAATCCCACCCAGATCCCGGCAGATCCTGGACTGGAATTTCAGCCATTCCCGGATCCCAGCCTGGAATCCCGGCCACTCCCATTCCCAGCCTGGAATCCCGGCCATTCCCAGCAGATCCCGGCCTGGAATCTCTCCCATTCCCAGATCCCAGTCTGGAATCCCGGCCACTCCCAGCAGATCCCAGCCTGGAATCTTTCCCATTCCCATTCCCAGATCCCAGCAGATCCCAGCCTGGAATCCCGGCCATTCCCAGATCCTAGCCTGGAATCCCGGCCATTCCCAGCCATTCCCAGCCATTCCCAGCAGATCCCAGCCTGGAATCCCGGCCATTCCCAGATCCCATCCTGGAATCCCAACCATTCCCAGCAGATCCCAGCAGATCCCAGCCTGGAATCTCTCCTATTCCCATTCCCAGCCTGGAATCCCACCCAGATCCCGGCAGATCCCAGCTTGGAATTCCGCCCATTCCCAGTCATTCCCAGCCATTCCCAGCAGATCCCAGCCTGGAATCCCAGCCATTCCCATTCCCAGATCCCAGCCTGGAATCCTGGCCATTCCCAGCAGATCCCAAACTGGAATCTCTCCCATTCCCAGCCATTCCCAGCAGATCCCAGCCTGGAATCCCACCCAGATCCCAGTAGATCCCAGCCTGGAATCTTTCCCATTCCCATTCCCAGATCCCAGCAGATCCTGGCCTGGAATCCCGGCCATTCCCAGATCCCAAACTGGGAATTCCAGCCATTCCCAGCCATTCCCAGCCAATCCCAGCCGATCCCAGCCTGGAATCCCGGCCATTCCCAGATCCCAGCCTGGAATCCCAACCATTCCCAGCCATTCCCAGCCATTCCCAGCCATTCCCAGCCATTCCCAGCCATTCCCAGCCGATCCCAGCCTGGAATCCCGGCCGTTCCCGCCTTTTTCCGGACCCGGATGGAGACGTATCCGTGGGCGACGCCGTCCGGAGTGCAGGGGGTCGGCAGCGGCTCCTCCGCGCTCAGGAGCTGCTGGAATCGGGAGCACGGGAAGATCTCCGGGAATTCCGTGGGAATTCCCGGGAATCTCGGGAATCCCGGCCGGGTTTTGTTTCCCGCACCTGGATCCCGGAGAGCTCCTGCAGATCCCGGAGAGCGGATTCCGTGTCCCGGACCAGGATCGTGGCCATTCCCAATTCCCGCGCCGGCTCCAGGTTTTCCTCCAGCTCATCCAGGAAAATCACCTGGGGAAAAAAACCGGGAATGGCCCCGGCTCGGATCCGATGGAGGGAAAAAATCCTCCCGGCCGCGGATTTTGGGGATTTTGGGATCTCCTGAGGCTTCAAATCCCCGGGAATATCCAAGGATTCATCCAAAGATTTGGGGAACCAGAAAATCCCAGAATTCCCAGGGTTTTTTTGGGATTTTGGCATCTCCTGAGGCTTCAAATCCCCAGGAACATCCAAGGACTCATCCAGGGATTTGTGGGATTGGAAAACCCCTGAATTCCCAGGTTTTTTTGGGATTTTGGCATCTCCTGAGGCTTCAAATCCACAGGAATATACAAGGACTCATCCAGGGATTTGGGACCCCAAAAAACCCCAGAATTCCCAGGGGTTTTTTGGGATCTTGGCATATTTGGAAGCTTCAAATCCCCGGGAACATCCAAGGATTCATCCAAGGATTTGTGGGACTGGAAAATCCCTGAATTCTCAGGGTTTTTTTGGGATTTTGGCACCTCCTGAGGCTTCAAATCCACAGGAACATCCAATGATTGATCCAAGGATTTGTGGGATTGGAAAATCCCCAGATTCCCACTTTTTTGGGATTTTGGGATCTCTGGAAGCTTCAAATCCCCGGGAATATCCAAGGATTCATCCAGGGATTTGTGGGATTGGAAAATCCCCGAATTCCCAGGTTTTTTTTTATTTTGGCGTCTCCTGAGGCTTCAAATCCCTGGGAACATCCAAAGATTTGTGGGATTGGAAAATCCCCGAATTCCCACTTTTTTGGGGGGATTTTGGTGTCTCCTGAAGCTTCAAATCCCCGGGAACATCCAAGGATTCATCCAAGGATTTGCGACCCCAAAACCCCCCAAATTCCCAGGATTTTTTTGGGGATTGTGGCACTTCCTGGGGACTTCCATTCTCAAGAAAATCCAAGGATTCGGGATCCCAAAAAACCCTGAATTCCCAGGATTTTTTTGGGATTGTGGCATTTCCCGAGACTTCCCATTCCCAGGAAAATCCAAGGATTTGAAACCCCAAAAAATCCCCAAATTCCCACTTTTTTGGGGGGATTTTGGCACCTCCTGAATTTTCAAATGCCTGGGAACATCCAAGGATTGATCCAAGGATTTGAGAGCCTGAAAACCCCCAAATTCCCAGGATTTTTTGGGGGGATTGTGGCACTTCCCGAGGCTTCCCATTCCCAGGAACATCCAAGGATTTGGGACCCCAAAAAACCCCAAATTCCCAGGGTTTTTTTGGGATTGTGGCACTTCCCGAGGCTTCCCATTCCCAGGAACATCCAAGGATTCATCCAAGGATTCGGGATCCCAAAA